AGAACGTCCAGCACAGAGCTATGTCACAAACTTCTGTGGTCTTCTCTATTATGGTACCTAAGAGACAGCAGTCTATCCTGCAGAAACTGACTACATGCTTGGGGGATGCCAGAAAACTGTAGCTTTTTGCAATATCTTTTACAACCTTCCATAAAATACGAGCCAAATGTACAGAGCAACTTGCATCCGCCTTTTTGTGAAGCCACGTCAGCATCTGTCATCTAACAGAATCTGACACCGACTTTTGCATGAAATAGAACATCGCGGGCTAGTCTAGCCATGCAGTTTACAGCTGTCATGAAGTGAAGAAAGAGCGTCTGCTCCTCGTCTAAACTCCAGAAGGAGCGGTGTTCAAATATAAATAACCTCTCCTCTCCTCTGCCCTGAACCAGAGTAAGTAAACAAAACTGGCAAAGTCTCCTGCTAGCCAACTGCACTGAAAATGCACTTGGATCTGCTACTGACTGGGGCGATAAGGAAAGGGATGAGGCATCACCCCAAAATGTAAACCTATAATCTCTAGTCTCAAAGCATATGATAAAGCATGCAAATATCAGAATGGATAGGTACGAGGGAAATGAGTTGATTTTAGCAAGGGCGCAGGGTGGCCGACCAGGGCAAACTAGATGTGTGCTCCTAGCAGGAGGGGTTCTCAGTATTTAATGGTGAAGAGACACTTGTTTCCTGTGATCCAGAACAAAGGAGTTAATGACAGCAAAATTTTACAGGCAGCCATGGTGGGTAGGGGCTCACGGTTCCTTTTTTATTATGACATTCCAGACTCTTCGGCTTTCAGCTAGACCCATGCCCCTTACCCTTCCCTAATGGAAATGCCTGCTGAATGTAAGGGGAAGGTAACAGAATGAAAGTGTCCAAGAAAAACACCCTGGACAGAGAAAGGCCTGAGCTGGGTCTCTTTATCTGCAGTGGAGCATGGTTACGGCAGAAAGCAGTGTTCAAATATTTGCACACAGGGCAAAGTGGAAATCAACTTGAATGTGTTTCAGGAGGGAGAATCAGTACAAAGGGTGGAAGGGACAAGGATGCTGACTTTAGCAGAATGTTCTAACCGACAGCCAACAACTCAGTCATACCATGAAGACGCTTGTTGCCACAGCTTTGTGGATAGATTTATCAGGATGATTGGAAAAGAGGTTGCTGCCATGATTCGATGATGCCTGGTAAACCGCATGCCTTCCTCTGGCCCAAGTGGGCAAAACACCTCTGGCACAATGCAGGATGGGTGGAGCAGCTCTGGTACCTTGGTATCCCCTGGTTTGACCACTAGCTGAATCACTTCCCAATTTCCCATCCCTACAGCTGAAGTCCTGTATCCATCCACTGCCTGCTCAGCTCTGTAGAACCCACCCTGTTCCTGGCTTAAAAGGCCAGAGACTTTCAAACTTTGACACACATGCAAACGCCCCAGGGATCAAGTGCAGATATGATTCCGGGAAAGTGGGAGACGATTTAGATTCTATACTTCCGCCAGCTCCTGCGTGATGCCGAGGCTGATGCTTCTGGTCTGTGGACCTCACTTTGACTAGGAAGGCTCTAGGGTCTAGACCAATGCTGTTCACTAGAACATTCTGTGGTGATGAAAATGTTCTCTGTGCTGTCCAATATGATATGTATGTAGGGGAGGCAAAATTTCTCTTTCTTGCTTTTTCTTTTTTTCTTTATTTTTGACACAGTCTCCCTCTTTCTTTTTCTTCCTTCCTTCTCTTTCTTTCTTCTTTCTCTCTCTCTTTGTTTTTGACAGGGTCTCCTTCTTTCTTTCTTTGTCTTACAGGCTGTCCTTTCTTTGCCTTTCTCTCTCTCTCTCAAGTCTCTCAGGGTCTCCTTTTCTTTTCTTTTCGACAGGGTATCGCTCTGTTGCCCAGGCTGCAGTGCAGTGGCATGATCTCGGCTTACTGCAACCTCCATCTCCCGGGTTCAAGGTATTCTCCCACTTCAGCCTCCTGAATAGCTGGGATTATAGGCGTAAATTATCACAGCCCAGCTAATTTTTGTATTTTTAGTAGAGACGGGGGTTTCACTATATTGATCAGGCTGGTCTCAAACTCCCAACCTCAGGTGATCCACCTGCTTCAGTCTTTCAAAGTGCTGAGATTACAGCCATGAGCTACTGCGCCCAGCTGGGAAAGCAAAATTTCACCTCTACCCATTTACAGTGTTTTGGCTGAACCTGAGCATTACATTGATATAAGACCACAATAGGAATGACAAGCAATGGAGACTCAGAAGGATAGGGCAGGCTGGGACAGGGGTAGATTACTTAATGGGTACAATGTGTATTATTCAGGTGATGATACCCTAAAAGCCCTCACTTTACTACTAGGCAACCTATGCCTGTAACAAAATAACATTTGTACTCCATAAATTTATATACAAAAAGACAGGCCAACAGGAGAACAGCATCACATTTATTTAATACAAGTTTTAGGTGGCACGGGAGCCTTCCTAAGATAGTGAAGACTAAAGCTGCAGTTACAGATGAACCCTTTACTGAATTAGACAAAGAGTCATAAATTATAAAAATGGGATGAGGCAAAGAGGCTTGGACTAGGGAAGTTCATTGGGTGGAGAAGTGTCCAGGAGGATAAAGACTTGTGTAATAGGGTTTGTTTACACAGGTTTCCTGTCCTTGATGATAAGAAGGCTACTTTCATTCTGGTATAGGGAGGACATCTTTCTTTTTTTTTGAGACGGTGAGTCTTACTCTGTCACCCAAGCTGGAGTGCAGTGGTGCGATCTCAGCTCACTGCAACCTCCACTCCCGGGTTCAAGTGATTCTCCTGCCTCAGCCTCCCGAGTAGCTGAGATTACAGGCACCCAGTACCATGCCAGGCTGATTTTTGTATTTTTAGTAGAGATGGGGTTTCGCCATGTTGGCCAGGCTGGTCTCGAACTCCTGAGCTCAAGTGATCTGCCCACCTCAGCCTCCCAAAGTGCTGGGATTACAGGCATGAGCCACTGCACCTGGCCCCTTCCAGTACTTTTAATGGGAATTTCATCTCCAGCTTTTAAGTAACAGAAAGATTGATCGTCTTGCACCTGCTGTTTTTCAAGTGCTTTTAGCTCAAAATAGTCAATATGCCAGAGTGGCAAATTTTTAACTCCTTCAGTAGCCAAGCTATATATACATGGCTACAGAGCACTGAAAATGTGACTACAGTGACCATGGGACTGGTTTCTTAATTTTTTACGTGTTTAATTCAAGTTTAAAATGAAATTGCCACATGTGGTAAGTGGTTGTCACACTGGACAGCACAGAGCCACTAACTCAGCGTCTGAGCATCGGCACAGCCTAGCACGGCTCCACTTTGGCCTTCTCTAGCCTTGCCCCCACATTGCACTTGTCATGTTCATGAAGCCTGATAGGTGGCGCAGTCCTCAAGGTAACATTTCCCCTTGGTTTAGTCCATATCAGAGATGAATCTCAGGCACTGTTTGCTGTATAGGCTGGTTCATTCAAGCCTCGCTATTGGAAGACTAAAAGGATAGCGGGAGCATGCCCATGCCATGGGTATGTGAAGGTCAAGAGGTCATGTGACTGACTGCTGGTCCAGAAGCAACTCTCAAAGTCCCTCTCTTGTACCTGTGTGCTGTCTGGGTCAATTACCAGGTGTTTCTATTATAAAGGTATCTTAAGCTATTCTTGGAAGGATCAGTCTTTTTTGTGGTATCTGAAAGTCATATCTGTGCTGATATGGCCCCAGTTCTTTGGCAATCCTAAGCTACAGTTGTCCCATACTCAAGTGACAGGTAATGACAGTCTTGCAAGATGTCTCATTAGACCTTTTAGTCATTAATTTAATAGCCATAATGTGTCCTAGAGTATAGTACTGGACTCCAGGTCTGAATAAATGAATGAATCATACAGCCATCAATTACTTATTCCCCACAAGACTTGAATTCATGTCTCAGTTGCAGTAAACAGGTCTTCACTTTTGTCCTGTGTGTATCAACGATTGCCTCGACCTTGGCTTTCTAGAGCTGTGGCTTGTCTTTGCTCTGAGAGGGTCTCTCAGGCCATAGCCTCCTGCTGTTCCTCAACACCAGCTTCCACAGCTGCTAAGCGTAGCTACTTTGCTGGTAAACATCTTTGAGGACCCGAATCTGCACACCCTACCTGATGCACATCCAGTAACTATCAGGCTTTGCATTCGGTCAGCCCTGCTATCACTCTGCCCTACACTATTGCTGCCAAACTGCCCAGCTATTCAATCACTTCTCCTAACACCACACCTTCTCCCTGTCCACCATCTATGTAGGTACGAGTCCTGGTTAAGCATATCAATTTCCATAAAAGCGTATCTATTTTGCCTCCCAGAGAGAGCTCATCATCAAAGCATATGTACCTACTCTGTTGGCAAAAGTTTCTACACCTCAATTTCCTATTAGAGAGACGCCAACCCAGAACTCTAAATTGCCTGACTTATTCAAAATGCAGTAACAAGAAATAAAAGCTGTGGGGCACTCTCTGAAAGCACATAGTCCACTCTTTTCTCTAAATATTCTAGCCTTACACTGGCTCAAGTCAGGTCACCAAACAGCTGCAAACTTGGACCATAATGCATTGACCCATGAAAGAAACCAGAGTCCTAATATGTGGGGTTCTACTATGTGCTCCTAATATGTGGGGTTCGAATCTCCTGGAAACATCATTTTAATTTTATTTGGACTGACCACAAGGAAAATAGTAAACCCAGGGCCTGATTTTTCCTTTTTTTTAACTAGAGTGAACTCAATTTATATAATGATGGGTCTTACTAGTATAAGACAGTAAGAGTTCATTCACATCTTCAGTGAACATCCAGCAAACACATGTCACATTTAATGAATACAACATTCATGTGTTTGCAGATTGAATGTTACATTCTAAAAACTCTACAGTTTTCATGGGAATCCAGAATACAAAATTTAAAATAAATAAATAAACAGCTAACACACACTGAATGTCCCAGACAGAACTTTGTATTTAAAAAGCTCAGGAAAGCTCTGCACAGTGGCAGTATTGTAGCCAATGAGGTTTATCCGAGTTGCGATTATTGCTAATTGAAAACTTAAAAAGCTCAGGAAGGGCTGGGCATGGTGGTTCACACCTGTAATCCCAGCACTTTGGGAGGTCAAGGCAGGGGGATCACCTGAGGTCACGAGTTCAAGACCCGCCTGGCCAACATGGTAAAACCCCGTCTCTACTAAAAGCACAAAAAATTAGCCAGACATGGTGACAGGCGCCTGTAATCCCAGCTACTCAGGAGGCTGAGGCAGGAGAATCGCTTGAACCCAGGAGGCAGAGGTTTCAGTGAGCCGAGATTGCACCATTGCACTCCAGCCTGGGCAACAAAAGTCAAATTC